TGGTGCAAATGTGTTGTTGGCAGCACCATGCTGCTTACGTCCAAACTAAGCCCGAGATCAGGAATTGCAAGAATCCTTGTTCGAATATGAATTGAGATCAACAGAGTCCACATCCGTCCAAAATACAATATTCTAACCAACCTCAACGCTCATCCGTCCAAAATACATTGATAAATGAATTCTAACCAACTTTGTTCGGCTGTTTTCATGGACAGTGCACCTGCAGTTTCTACATGAACTCCTTTGGTTTGGACCCTTGTCATCTCCCAGGTCCTTCCGGAGAAGACCCACCTGGAGCGTGAGTGGCCCGAGCGCTCCGCCTCGGGGCAACGCTCGGGGCCTCGAGATGCGGACCTTTAGCCGAAAAGGAGAGGGAAGAGCAACCAGCAGCTGATTCAGTTCCAAAGGGGTGCTTCATGGGTTGGGGGGGTGCCCATGAAACATCGGGACTAAACACCACCCCTTTCTCTAACTCCTGCCAGTTGACAGTTGATGCCACCCCCAGAGGCTGGGCTATCGACATCGGAGGGCAGTTCTCGGATCTGAAGATCTGGGCTCGAGCCGTCAAGGCGCCATCGACGCTCGTGGCGATTGGCTCGAGCGGTGCAAGCTCGCGCGTCGAGCGGCGCAAGCTCGTGAAGCGTTGTCTCTCTTTCGGAAGATCTGGAGAGACCTTGTGTTTGAAATTTGAAGAACAAACAAAAGAAGGAACACACGGGAAAAAAGGTGACCGTTATTTTGGAGAGTTTTGCATTTTCTGTGTGTGAGGCAATCTTGTTTTTTTCACAGAGACCTGGCAGCCCTGTGAACCACTGATAGACATCCCAATCAAGTGATTAGTCGATTTCCGGTGCACCTTGAATGTGTGTTTTCTCTTTCTCAGATACTGGTGAAGCTGGGGTGTGGACGGAGCGACAGCGAGCGTTTTGAGTGTTGTCATGGAGTTCGAAGATGGAAGTCCTGGATGTTAGGTGAAACATGGTGAAGCCTTTTTTTTGCATTCTCCAACCAGTCACTCAAGTTCTAGATATCATCTCGTGGACCAGTTACTTGGAACAGGTTGGGTGCCCAGAGGTGGCGGTGGCAAGCTTGACTTTTTGGGCTACATTACTACCTGGAAACCAAACAACCAGAAACAGATGGATGTGCCCCCAAACAGCCACTTCCTGTGTAAAGGATCTCGGATCTCAAGTGCCATTTATATCCATTTATTTATTGCCGGAACCATCATTTGTTGGTTGGGACTGGCATCAGGTACATCATAGGAAGCGTAGAACAACCACCCCCTTTGTCGTGGATCCGCCGATGATTCAGCCGTTCAGCCGTGCCGGTGGTGGTGGCACGCACTTTCAGGGGCAAGATGAGCTTCTCAACGGCTATGTGTGCTGTGGCCGACCTAGTCAGCAGATGGAGACCCGACAGCCAGCCATTGACCCCCGTCCCGCGTGCTTGCACGTGAACTCATGTGCAAAAACTACAGCGTTTTGATGACACGAAACATGAATAAACAAACCACGAGCCAGAGGAGTTCAGAGTTGAGAAGACAAAGTTGACACTAGGATGATCTATAGCAAGGAATATTTGAGGCCTTAGCAAAAATCGAAGCATGAATCAACAAAACATATGGATGCTCCGATGCTCCCATGTCAGCCGTATGGACAAAAGCCGGACATCTCATATGCCTGAAGACTCCGATTCCGTTGCACGATGTGTTCACACCATATCGATTCCATTGTGTGCATCGATTCCGATGTTCGGAGGGTGTGTCGTGTCTCCGGACCTGAGCTCAGGTCGTAACCCGTATCATGTGGGGATCCAGCTGTCTGTCTTGTGTCGCTTCCTCAGCGATGAGTCTTTCGAAATCGGAACAGTTGAAATTGGAGTGGGTCGGAAGCTGAAAAGGTGTGAAACTCCCGGCTCTAGTTGCTGTTGTCTAAAGCATTGACAGCTGACTTTAAACAAACAGAGCACATTGAGATGGCGGTCTGGTCGATGGTCAACAGACAATGGGGGCTGACCTGGTGACCTGGTCGGAGAGATTTAATGGCTTGGAAACGGAAAACACGTGGTTCCAATGTTTTGGTTTGCAGTTTGAATTGTTCATTCCTGTAGAATTTTATAGAATTTTACTTCGGCCAGCAGCCAGCGGCCAGCTATCCTGCATTCAGACACGCCTTCCTGGACACATCCAATCATTCAAAACCCACCATCCAAATGCATGCTCATGTTTGATCGGCAGCGCTCATGTTGGAGGGTCCCCAAAAGGATTTCCCTTTCCCTTACAAAAATGCGGGGAAATCCGATCCAACATGACCGGCTGATCTTCTGATCCACTGGATCAGCGCCCGGCTGATCCTTCGTGACCGAATCGGACCGAGGCTCGGAGCCGGAGGGCTTCTCGGGCAATCTGACGGCGCGGGGGCGAACCGACGCCGCGCCTGGAACGAGCGGAGCGGGACGGGAAGAGGCGTTGGAGATCAGACGGTGAACCAATCACCTCCCACGTCAGAAGGGAAAAAGAGATGGGCCATGGGGGGCGGTGATTCATCAACATGTCTACATTATGGTGGATTCATGTGGAGAATGAATGGGAGGAAGAGAAACCGTGAATGAATGGGTTTGAACGGGTGTGCACAAGGGTGGGAACAGAGATGCTTTGAATGAACAGATGTGAACAGAAGAGTGGAAGCGTACCTAGAATACAAGTGTTGGTGCCAGGATCCAGAGCAATATGATGACGACATGACTGGTTAGTTCTTGGTGTGATGTCGACATGCATGCATGAAGCATGACTGGGATGGGTGAAAGGTCTTCTTCATGACTTGGGTCCGACGGAAGACGTTGCGACTTGCTGCAGTTCAATCCAGTGGATGTGGGAAGTTTTGCTAAAGAAATCTAAAGAAGAGGATCCCACATAGATAGCAACACTGTCCAAGACATGTTGCATGTGTTGAAGGGGAATCCGCGTTTCGATTCAGTTACGGTCACCAGAAGGATACTTCGAGACTATCTTGGACCTTGTCAGAAGCCAAAATCAGAGGGCCTTTAGTTGTGGTGGTGGACATGACGTGATGTTTCACGCGTGGGGCACGCATCTTTTTTGGAGACAACGGAGACGGAAAGGGCCCGGTCTTTGGAGCAGAAGGTGCGTCATTGATCATTGCATCAGACGGAACACCAGTCCAGTCATACATAGGCAGCCTGTCCAACACAGCCTGTGAAGCGACCAGTTCAGCACGATCCATCGTGGCCAGGTGGACGACTTTCACATTGATCAGGTGAACCTGAACACGCACTGGAGCTCCGTGCAGATGTGCCTCGTCGGGTCGAGTCGCAGGGTCGGCCGGATCCGTGAAGAAAGGGGTGGTGCGGTGCCCATGATCCATTCACTGGGTCTAAAAGCCCGTTTCGACATGTTTCGACCAATTTGAACTGGGAGGATTAGGGAGGATTCTTCTCAACTACGGAACTGTTGATGAACGACATCCCCATATTTGGATTGTAAAACCATGTAAAACCTATTAACCTATTAAAACTTCTCGCGCCGCGCGCTGAATCCCAGCTTTGTGAAGCCGTGCCGTCAGCTTCCACAGTTGTGGCAACGATGACCTCTTCATTTGGGGGGGAAGGCCCAAGGATTCCTAGGGTTTTCTTGTTCTTCATCCACCAGTTTTACCTTAAAGAGTTGGTCTACAAAGAGGGACCTCTGAGATTTCTGCTGATCTGGATGGAGCAAAGGAGAAAGAAGCTGGGTGCGAGACAGCAGCTGGGTGGGTGTGTAGCTCAAGGGAGACGGACCTCTGGCAACGACCCCCTGGAAGGTTCGGGAAATAGACCATTGTAAGTACCATTATGGCATACCGGGCCAAGCGGGTGTTCCTATTAAAATACACAGGAACGACAAACATACGGAGTTTGCTTCGTGTCGTTGTTTCTTCGGCTTCTTTTTGTGTCCAGTAAACTGGAGTGAAAGATAGAATGGTGATTGGATCCCAACCATCTGTTGGATTCGAACAGTCCTCTTCGTCATATATAAAAATAGTATATGATAAATATTAATTATATAGTATGTATTATATATTATAATACATATGTATATCTACAGTGCAATATGATGTTTGGGTGGCGACACTACCTTGAAAGGATTTTATTGAATTGAGGATTGCTTTCTTAGGTTTGCAGCAGGGGGGATGATGTGATTGGAGGGACAAGATCAAACAAGATGTCAGTGCTGTTCTGACTTCGCAGGAGAGCCTATCCAATACACTTCGACGAACACATCACATGGAAGTGGACACCACCTGCTTGTAAAGGACAGTAGTCTTCCAACAGACCATGTTCCACTTCCAGTGAGTCAGAATGAAGTGTTCAACATCAACAACCTATAGGTCCCTGCTGTGTTCCAAACTGAAGGGCACTGTTAGCCCTATAAATGTAACTACTTTCCCTGATGTCTCGACACCCAAACATTGGCACCTGGTAGAGAAGACCCACTGCCCCCTCCCATGTGTGGCAGAGGATTTGCGGTATATAAGTGGCTGTGTCTCTCACAATCAGAAAACTTCAAGTCTCCCGTGGACAAAAAGAGGAAAAGAGGCAGACCAAACGACTGATAGAAACCTTTTGATTCTTGAGATACATACAGCCGCTGGGATAACAGGCACCCCATTGCACCCCGACTTCTTCCTTTAAGACCACGGGGCTTGCTGCAGTAAGCACCTCCTCCTCGCAGTCCATGGCACCTCCCCAGTGAGGTCCGATGTGGACGAGCAGAGCATGTCCGTTGTGCTCAGATGAGGGTGTGTGTTTGTGGAGATTTGATCTTTGCTGAGCGGGCTACGCTTTGTTTGAGATCCAATCTCATCTTCCAGATTCAATCCTTTCTCTTGTTGAGTGGACATCAGCAGAACTCCCAAAGCAGGATATGTACGACCAGCGGCCTGGGGCTGGGGGGCGGGGTCACACCCCTGGCACATATAGTCAATATACTTCTATTAGCAGCGAACAAAGGTCTGTCTCTCTCTCTCTCTCTCTCAGGTGCGGAACAAACCGGTGGTCTGTGACCCACTCCAACCCACACCGCTGCTGTCGTGGCTCGAAGAGGATTCATTCGGACGCCGAGCCTCCTTGTTTTCTGCCAACCTCAGCGAAGCTCAGCGACGGGAAGGAGACGCGAAGATGACGGGATGGTGGATGCCCTGACTTTTGGACATGATGTTAATTTGGAGTGGTTGATTAACCATAAGCCATCCCTGAGAACTGCTGGTCCACAAGCATGTTTAAAAGGCAGGGGCACATGATTTGTTCATTTTGAGATTTACTGGGTGTGATCACAGTTTACGCACGAAAGGTGAGGGGTCAAACACGCATATTGAAATCATTGGACATCAATCTCACACACTTAGACAATGGGTTTGCAGTTACATCAATTCCCCGAGGAAAGGAATGGCTCAACGGCAAGGTGAATCGTCCAAGCACTTGAAGGTGTTTGAACAAAGGTTGACGCGTGACTGCAGAAAACTAGTCACTGATTACTTAGCAGACTGAATTAACGCCGTGCAAGGAAACCTGTTTTGGGGGATATCATGCGAAGAACCACCATGGAAACAAACCAACAGCGGCAAGGGAAACCAGTGGAGTCATTGCGTTGGATGCAGGTACACAGTGGAGCGTCCTCCACTGCTTCAGCACCAACCCATACCCTCTTCGTTGCACGGGCAGTATCGGTGGTGACCCGTCCCCTGCTTGCAGAAAACTCTTAGAAACAGAGGGTGGCACACACACACACACACACCCGGCCGCTTTGCCGCGCTCTCGCGCAAAACCTGAATAGGCACCTAAAAAGCCTTAGACACGAGAGAAAGAAAGCCAGAAAGAGCAGCGCTAAAAGGGCAGGAGAGGAAGATAGGGGTAGCAGAAAGTGACTACTTAGCCCTTGACTGGGGTAGGGAAACGAGCCTCAAGAACCACCTAAAAAGCCTGAAAGAAAGCCCAAGAAGCGGCGAAAAACGCAAGAAAGAAAGTGGGGGGCAGGGAGGGGATGTATGTACATGTGTGTGTGTGTGTGTCCGTGTGTGTGTTTGAATACCTAGCACTCTAGAGTTACTGATTACGTAGCGCAAGTTCATTAGGTGCAATAGTTAGGGAGCGGGACTTTAGTCTTAAACCGCCCGGGTAGAGTAGACTAGAACAGGGACAACAGAGGGAAAGGCACCGACACACAAGTGTCGAGTACCATTTCCCTCTGTTACCCTAATTAGGGGGGGTTAGAGAACTCGGCGGGGGCTTATTCTCCGTAGGCCCGACAGCGTCAAGTCTCCGTAAACTTGGCAGTTTGTTGCAGGAAATTCATTGGGTGAAACATTCAGTTCAGAAAGGATAATCCAACGCATGCCGAAAAATGCTGTATCAATTACACGTTAGTTTGGAATGGTCTCAGCGCCCCAGTGACGGGGTTCACACTCTGCACCCAGTGGGACGACAGAGCGGCACACACTTAGACAATGGGCTTGCAGTTGCATCAATTCCCCGAGGAAAGGAATGGCTCAACGGCAAGGTGAACCGTCCAAGCACTTGAAGGTGTTTGAACAAAGGTTGACGCGTGACTGCAGAAAGCTAGTTACTGATTACTTAGCAGACTGAATTAACGCCGTGCAAGGAAACCTGTTTTGGGGGATATCATGCGAAGAACCACCATGGAAACAGACCAACAGCGGCAAGGGAAACCAGTGGAGTCATTGCGTTGGATGCAGGTACACAATGGAGCAACCTCCACTGCTTCAGCACCAACCGATACCCTCTTCGTTGCACGGGCAGTATCGGTGGTGACCGGTCCCCCTGCTTGCAGAAAACTCTTAGAAACAGAGGGTGACACACACTTCGACACTTGTATTCAGTTAACTCAATTCCCCGAGGAAAGGAATGGCTCAACGGCAAGGTGAGGAGTCCGATCAATTGAAGGTGTTTCAACAAATAGTTTGTGCGCATCTGCAGACTCGCGACAGCAGCGGACGAGCGGCGGACGGCAGCTGAAACCGAGGGAAAAGGGTTTAGGGGAAGTAGCATGAACCACCATGGAAACAAACAAAGAAAGAGTGGAGTGACAGCTTGTACAACAGTTCGGCAGGTACGTTTGCAGCCCCCCCAGTGGCCTCTTCGTTGGCCATCCGCCACTGGGGAGGGGGATGGCCCCCTGCTGTGAAAAAGGTAGAAGTTGGCAGTGAACCCTTTGGCACAGGGGTTGACACACACACACACACACTTGGCTTTGCAACGCACGCGTGCGTGTACAGGGCATGCGCGTACGCGTGGGTCGCCAACGCGGACCGCGCAGGTGCTGGGACCTCCGGAATCATGAAACGTTTGGAGGTTGTTCATGACCCGGAAAACATGGGGGGGGACGATGGGAGTCGCTTTTCCCTGCAGGGATTGCGTTTCTTCATAAACATGTTCCTAGCTGTGAGTACCACCTAATACTTGTAGTATTCCAACACAGCCCGACCTCCAAGATGGGCCAAAACCGTGTGCATCGCTGTGAGTACTTCATATCCTTCACGATCCCTTCAGTCCGGGATAGGTTGGTTTTACATGGTTTTACAGTGTCCTCCGAGCCGTGGTAAACACAAGCCGCAAACAAACACCTATACCCAGCATGACCAGGTGGAAGAAGAGACATCTCGCCTTATCTCGGCCGTTGACCTTTTACATGAAATCATGTTTGTTGGGGCATTGATGATCCATGGGAGCCGGCGCCGGAGTGAGACACCTCGGTCTCGCAGGACAAGAGAAGTGGACGTCGAGCAAGGGCGTAGCGGACGTGAGCGCCACGACTGGATGGTTCGAGCGTTTGGCCCTGTGCCATGGCCACCCAGTTGCAGAAAAGGAACTCCTCCCACAGAGTTCTGGCCACCCGGTGCCGCACTCATGACTGGGGGTCTAGGTCTAGGAGATGTATGGATGTATGATGATGTATGGATCATGTGTAGAATTGTATTGATGCTTGAACCAAACAAACATCCGTTGGTGACATATATGTGCGACTGTGACATGTGCCCTGTCCCGAAACACCGGGCATGCGACATGATGGCCCCGCGTGGAGGCCCAGACAGGGCCTCCGAAGACTCCCACGTCCCTTTTCCCAGTCCTGGGGACTTCTTCCATCTTCTTCCCTATTTTTTCCTCAATTTCAACATACAGTTCATCGAACGTTACAGGAGGTTTGCTCAGACATGCCTGAAGAGGCCGTAGGGTCTAAAAAGCCGCAACACCCAAACCCTCCACACGCAAATGCTTGTCAATCCGTGCTTCCCGGACTGCGGCGTTCTGCGACACCAGGTTCCTGGTCGTCATTGGAGTCAGGGTGATGGGCAGAGATGATGAGTTCATGTTCTGCAACGTGAAACTGGACCTTAATATGGAGAACAACTGTGTGTGGTCTGCCACGGCAAACGAAGCACCCTCTCTGAAGCCTGGCACAGTACCCGGCTGCTTTCAGGAGACTTGCACTGTTTCAGGTGCCAAGATGGCATCATGGGAGGCTCTGACTTCATCCGGCAGATCTTCGTGTGGGTTGAAAGTCCGTAGAACACAAAATGACAGGAACATCAAAGACCGGATGTTGAGGATTCATTTGTGTGGTCTTTCATGTTGGCTCACGGCCTGCAGGAGGGTCGAAACCCTACGAAACACAGTTTTGGGGAGGGAAACATATCCATTGGAATCTATTTTGTGGTGGAGGTTTGAGGTTTTGATAGCCATACAGGTGCTCTAATGCAGAGTCGCCTTCCCAAGTCCCTCACCCGAAAGAATGGATCGATTGAGCAATCTTGCCTGTGGTTCATCCCTGCTTTTGAATGCTTTTGGGCGTTCGAGTCATTTTGATATATTTTGACCCATTTTCCTCTGGAATCCTGGGAATGGGATTATACATGACATTGTTATTATATATATATATATAATACACATTGACCCATGGCATGGCACGTGTCCAAGTCCTTTTGTCGAATTTGCCGCGGGAATTTGGCCTTGTACTGGTTGCACCACGAGCACTGACATGGAAACCTAAAAGCCATGTCCCTCTAATTACGCAGACGTCGGGTCCGCATGTCCGTGTGATTGACCGGATGCTGGTTTCTGGCCGACTTCGTGTACGCGACTTCTTCGCGGCAACGACTCCCGTGAAGCCAGGAGTGCTATGAGAGCTCGACCATCCACACCGATCCCGTCTTTGGAGGTGGCGACATGCGACATGGCGAGAGGGTCCCGGACAGTCTGAGATGCGCTTTCGGGTGGCCAGACACAACTTGCGAGATTGGGTGCTCAAAAAAGGTCGACGCTTCCTACAAACTCATCCAGCTCTTGCTGGTGTGTTTGAACCTTTGGCTGCTGTCCTTAGTGGACACTGGAATGGCCAGTGTCCACCAAATTGCGAGCAATACGACAGTTGCGCTTTCAAACAATTATCAACTCAGTTTTGCCATCAAGAATCATCAATAATATGGGTTCCATCTCAGAAGCATTCCCTGCATGTTTTATGGCCTAGACACTTGGTCCGTGGGTCAACGTTTTATAGAACCAAGACCCCCGCAAGTCTTGGTCCGTGACTACGGTTCCCATCCGCATGCGATATTGAGCTTTGACCCTGAGAGAGGCTGTGGAACTGTGAGAACTATTGAGCGCATATTGATTTGATATATGGGACCATGCGACATATTGAGCTCAGAACTGTGAGAAATATGAGAACTATTGATATATGGTCCAAGATTTAATTTGCTTCAAGAAATGCGCTGAACGCCTGATGTCTTTTCTCCCCTGCGCTTCGAAAGATCACCGGCCAGGCTTTAAGATCGTGATGACACCCACGGGGGAGCGTTGGAAGACCTGCGACATCCCCGGCTTCTTGGACTGTTTACAGTAGTTGATCATACTCATACTCAACACCTGATGAGAGCGCTACGAACGGAGCCAAGGGCAACGCTACGAACGGGGCTGGTGTATTCCGAGCTGCATCGACCCTCCATAGCTCAGCTCCGAACGGAACATGGTTTCAAGCAGGTCGTGCAGTACTCGATCTGGATGGTTTCAGGTATTTTGTATGATCAACCTTGACTGGGCGGCATGATGCTCGACCTTGACAGCACCAAATATCAAGAGATCCAACTAGTGGATGCGAATCAAGAAATGTTTGGCCAAGGGTTCCAACGGTGTTGTTCCTATTCCCTGTAAATGGAGAGCTTCATATCACGTAGACGAGAGAATGCCTGGTACACTTCAAAAAGCAATCAACCGGCCGGACCAAAGCTATCATGGTCCTTCTTTTGCAAATCACCTGCATGAAGCAACGTTAATGACACAGTTAAACAAAAAAAACATTATGTCACTCAAATGAAACACATATGGGACAAACAATCATGGATACACACACCCATTTCACACATGTATACACCTGTATGGTAACAGATGCTTAAACATCTTAAAGAGAACCTTTCAAAAACAGGAAACAGCACATATGGGGAAAAACGTCACTGGTCACTGGTTTTCGTGTGTTCCTCCGCCCTTGGAACCTCGGGAGCCGTTCATCGTCGAGCCGTTCGTAAACTGACCGGGCCCAGACCATCCATGGATAGAATAGTTAGATACATTTACCCCATTTAAGACCCCAATGTAGGTATATAACTTAGGTAACTGTTCCATATATACATGGATTGTTTGGGGGGTGTCATTGGAAGTTACTGTTGCTGCCAAGCCTTGTGACCCCTGGTATTGTGAGCTTACTAAGCTTCTTGGAAAAGTAAATTGGCAGCCAGGTGTCATTTTTGAACTTCCCGGGTTTTCTTGCCGGATGTCATACTGAAAGTCCCGCTCTCCTGCATTGGACTGAGGTTCCAATTTGTCTTTCGCCTGCGTGCCTTTGGCGGTGACCTGCGCTTGGTCTTTGTTTGGTTCCTTGACTTGGTTCTTGAGATGTTTCCTCGCTGAAGAGTTTAAACAATGCCAAGACTCCACAGAGTACCTTTACGCACCTGTTTAGAAATGCTGGACAACTAGAGGAACTAGAGACCCAGCATACTTCCTCCAAAACAGGTATGCAGCGCCCCCTAATCAGAAAGCTCCAGGCACCAATTTCAATAACTTTGTCATTCAATGCGTCTAAGTTTTACCTCGATACACTTAGATGTTTTGTTTGACATTTGTTTATCTGGTTAAACTTCGAGATTTTGTTTGAGTAAGTGAACAAGAGTTATGCAAGGAAAGTGCAATTCAATGGAGGAATCGTGAGGACTGTTGGGATGTATATTTTATGGACTTCGATTGATGTCACTTCAATCATCCCGAAAAACCGATCACATGACCTTTGCGGCATCCATTGACCTTTCAAAGAGCTTGCGACCTTCACATAGATCAACCAAGCGACTCAGCGTTTCTGGCGGATCTCAACACTTGTGCGTTCGATCCTTTGGACAGGGGGGGTAGCCGATCGGTCGACGTTGACACGTTGGCCTGTATTGTATGATGTTTCTATGATGGTTGTCCGTTTTAACGTTGGTGGGATCCCCACATCTGCTAGACTGTGTGTTCTCTTTCAGGGCTCATGTCATGTGGGTGTATAAGACTTTATGTTAGATTCGTTTAGAAACTTTAGAGCGTGATGTATGCCGGACAAATCCAAATTCGAGGCTGATGAGTCATTTATCTGTCTATGTATACATGGAACGTGGTGGTTTGGTTCAAGTCATCAGAAGAGCAACACCTTGTTGTCGCTACTAAGGAAGTCACTTCAAACAAACTGTCAGCGAAGAGGGCATGTTGACATAGTGTCTTTAGCCACGGCCTTTTGTAGAAGGAAGATTCGGCTAGCGGCTACTTGTGATCTCGCAGTAGGGGGTGGTCCTGCCATTTTGTTGAGCTTTCACGTTGTTCAAGAATCATTTAGAGTTTAGAAGCCTGTCAGGCAAGGAACGCCACGTAAGACCAGGCAACATCTGCAGCAGCACACACCTGGCTGCAAAATGATATGCAACCACAAAACACTTACTGTAATTACCTTGCTTGGACAAGTTCCAAACGTTTGCAATTACAAACCTGTTCCTATTTTTGGTCCCTTCCTTTCCTATGACAGCACCACCGCCCTATCTTAAGTTTTCATGTTTCTTGCTTCAGATGAACTTCAGAGGGCATGATACTTGCTTCAAGCATTCCTTGGCTGGTTTCTACTTTGATTCTTCCTTGACCAGCTTGACTACCTCTGCTGGAAACTTCTGAGGTTCACATGGGCTTTGTCAAGAAAGCTTGCAGTACAGTACAATACAGATTAATTTGGTCACGTGTCTCCCGCTACAAAGTGATAGCCCGCAAACAAGACGTCGCACCTCTCCCTCTCCTTGTTCTCCCGGGCATACCACGGGACTATCCTTTCACTTGGTCAGGGCCTTGCTGTCTTGGTCAGGAAATCTTCATGGCTCAGGGGTTGGGGTTCAGCCTGAAGAAGCCAACTTATTTTCCGATATTTTTTGTGAAACAGGTGAAACTTTTTAAGGAACCCATGATTTTCAAGAGCACCCTTCCTAAGACCATTCATTCTACAAGAGCTTTGCGTGGTAGTCTGCCCTGCGAATGGATAGCGGTATGAAACAGTGTTTATTTTGCAGTGGGATGCCTGAAGACCCCTTTGCGACTTGCTCTAATCAAAAAAGTTGCGGAATCTCAACTCCGTACAGAATGATACGCTTGACTTTTTCTTGCAGAGACCAGACATTTCACTACAAAAAAGACATGCCCGTGTTTTTTCTCCCCCAAATTGTTCAGGTGGCAATGGGGAGGCCACTTGGGCAGGTGCATATTTTTCGCAGGCCACATGTGATATGTCCTACCCAAGTCGTAGAATTCGCAGAAATTAATCTTTGAAGGCCTTGGACGACTTGGTAGTGCCAAAGGCGTCCCCAAAAGTATATGTACAAAATTATCTTCCAAGCGCCGTTTTGCACAACTATGCAGAGCATCATATGGCAATCATTGGGGTTTGACTTAGAGAGCCCCATAGTACTGCACCCCTGTGCTCAGCAGAACTGAGTTGACTAGGTGAAAAAGTGGGAATATTGGCCCATCTTGAGACGAAACCTGATCAACATGAGACGAACACTGCTTTTCGCTCCTACTGCAGATACTTTTCCCAACAGTTGCACCACCGTCACACTCTTCGATGCCAACTTGATCTGGGGAAAAGGGGAAAAACCCATGGGACATGCCACTTGAGCAGCATGGAGCAGCTGGGAAGAAAAAGGGTCAGATGGGTCAGAATTACGCGGGGTAGGTGAAACTTCATGAAATGCATCACGCTGGGGAAGGAAAACGTTGAAGGGATGCATACATGCTTGGGAGTGTACAAATGGGAGGGATGAACAGGCATGCAAAGAGGTGTTTGTTTTTGCATGGAGTATGTTAGGAAACGGCAGGGTCCCAAGACACCTGATCTTAGTGGCAAAACAGTGACCTACTACTCATCCACTTGAAATACTACTACACCTCAGACTTGCACTGGTCCTGACATCCATGGCACATCCAACCTCTGAGTGTCATGACCGGTGGATGGTTGCAATGACCCAATGAACCGGATCATGGACCTGACAAATAGAGTCAAATGGTAAACATGGGCATGTCAACGCATCGGACAGTCGAGTGACCTATGTGTTTTATTGTTTCTTTTTCAGGGGTACCAGGAGAACTGGCGAGGTTTGGATGAGATGGAACTGGGGATGGTTCCGAGTACAAGGGTAACTGACCTTTCGCCCGATTTCACAAACTGGCAAATGGTGGCCGGATCGGACCAGTGTTCACCCCTCCTTGTTGCCTTTTGGTCACCATTTTGATGGGCGTGTTTAGTTTTCTTTCTACCATACGTGGCAACAGCCCAAAAGGATACTGTAGGCCCCGTGTTTTGTGTTTTTCACTCGTCAACTTCGCCCCTCCAACAGCTGCAGCACTTTCCAATTGAGGCCTTTTTGGCCTTTTTCTCCTACAGCAATTACTACAAAGATGACAAAGGACCGGATACCGCTGCCAATGAGGTTTGGCGAAACGACACATCCAAAGGAATACATGAAGAAAGACAGAGATTTGTTTCCAGTAGAGCAGGAACAGATGTAGATAGTCATGGAGGATACCTGCATATGCTTGCCCAATTTCTGCCACGTTTGTAGATCCGAGGATGAGACAAGACCGCATGATGCTTTTTCTCAACAGATCCACTTGGGTGGTATATTTCTTCATATGTCTTAAGTCTTCCAAAGAGACCAGAGACCCCCACCCCATGGGCTTTAAGTTGCACGCTGGGCGAGAGCCGGGTCTGTGTGATTCCCCCTCACCCAAACGGTGAACGGTCAGGGTCAACGGTTGAAAGCATGGTCCACGTAGTGAATCCACTCCTTGAAATAGTGATTCACTACGTGGAATGAACCCCACCTGTTTGGTCTTCGGATTGCATGGTCATTCTGTTTGGTCACACCATGCCATCCACGTAACCATGAGTCTAAGGAGGGCATATCTGTTCCTCTCCTGCAGTCCTTTTGAATCGTAGACTCTTTGGGAACCGTGGAGTTCGGTTTTCGGCTTCATCCGTCACGCTAGTCGGTGCATACGTCTTGGTGACGTTTGCAGATGTTTCCGCCCAGTCCAAGGACCTTGACCGGATCCAGTGAAATGTTTGTAAGACCTGTAGGGATGTATGGAGTATCTACCCACTGTGGTTGAAACTGCTCAAATCTGAACCAGTCGCAGCGGTCTCAGTCGAAGCATTGGCTTTCGACGGTCGCGCCCAGACCGTCGCGGCGTTTCGCATCGCATGACGGTGGACAGGTGAGAGGACGGTGGTCAGACCCAGCTGATGTGGATTCTGATACACCGGAGGTGGTTCGTTCGCATGCAACCATGAACCAATCGAAACGGTCACGAAGCTGCGTTGATATAGTCATTGGGCTTGCCAGCAATATACCTAAGAGCAAGTCTTTGTGAATGTTTGTATACAGATGCATTTGCATAGAATGCACCCCGTGAAGGTCAATGGACCCCCATCATGCCTTCTGTTTGTAAAGATCCATTAAAGTATATTATTCACATATATATATAAATATTCATTTTACAGAATCAACAGTTAAGAAGCAAGCATGTCCTCAAATTTTTAAACAGCTCTACCGGTGCCCAACATGTCCCAACATGTCAGGAGAGACTGGCTCACAGCGGACGTTGGACGTCCGAGTGATGCTGCGCTCCATTAGTGCAGGGAAGGAGAATGCCATGTGCTCTGGATCCTTCCAGGTTCAGACGCTTGGACGTCGACTTGGTTTCGCCGTAGATGGAGAGGGCTTGGAGAGGCTAACAATATGAGAACGCACACAGACTCTTATCTTCGTGTGTCTTGGGGACTGAAAACGAACAGATCGCCCAAACAAGATAAACATGGGTTTCAGAACACGAACAGATTGATGAAGAAAGAGTCACATGCTCTTCTTGTTCCGACCATGCGAAGTGCTCAGACGATGGAGATGACGGCTGTCCTTGTTACTAGTAGCTTCTTGTCACTAGTCAGTAGTAAGGCCAGGAGCTACTGGTAGCGTCCTTGCTCCTAGTAGCGATGCCCTTTGTTTCTAGCGAGCTGTTTGAGTGTTGGACCAAAGAGCGTTCGGCGTTCGGCCCAAATTCAACGTCCAGAGGTGTCCAACGTTTGAAATTCCAAGTTTGCTGTTGGGAGGACCTCCACTCACCCCACCGAATACAGAATACAGTAGTGTGGATGTGTCATGTGGACCATTTCATGGTCTAATTCAGGTGGTCAATCAAACCCCGGTCGAGACTCGAGCTCAGACCGCAAGGAATGGCAGCTGCTTTGGCCGCTTGGACACCTCGGACTTGTAGGACGACGTAGCCGCCATGACTAGTCGCCCAATGTGTTAGCAAGCAATGTGTGGTCGCAGGTGTTTTTAGCAGGTGCGCAGGTGCAATTGTGTACACCCAGTTGTACACCCATGTGTTCATTTATGTTCATTGTTTAGCAGGTGATTAGGCTTGGAAGCGGGCTGTGAGATAGACCGATTGACTGAACGATCTTTTAGTTTCGTTTTCAACGTTTATTATTTATTGTGTTTTAAGGACGTAGCTAACTTAGCATTCACGTGTGAGAGAGTATTGAAAAGACATTTGCAACAACACACAATAATGTCATTTTTGGGCCATGTCGGTCTTGCCAGAAAAAAATCATTTTTGCTGTAAACCAATTTGCGCAAGAAAATAACACGTTAACAATGCACATGGACAATCCTATTCTATGCGTTTCATCTTATATATGTCCCCACGAAGACATCGGCGAGTGTTGTGTTGCAGTATCGTTGTTTGTGCGACATGGATGCTGAAAACCAGGCACTGAAACGACGACACAATCGATAATGGCAGCCAGCCCAAATAAAACACCCGTAGCCGTAGACAATGGCCCACACATGTACAAACTATGTACAAACTGTACAAGTTGGAATTAACTGTGCCATGTAATCATGTTTGCCAGTGCCGCACGGCAAGCACTGAGTGTTCTTCTCAAGGTGCGAACCAGTTTGATTCGTCAACAAGACCTCTCTGTGAAGCAGAGACTAGGAAATATACAGACTGAAGAAACCGGACAATAAAAAATATGAAAAACATCGGGCACGCTCAAAGACAGGTTTCCTTTTTCACACCATTGTACACATGCATACAACTGTCCTTTCTCCTTTTTCCCACATCCTTTTCTGATATTGTAGCACTGGGAATTCAGTCCGTCCTGCCCTCTTTGGGCCAACCGAGCATACCGAGCCCAGGCATAAACACTGGGTCCAACCGATACAATGCGGAAGCCACCGAGCCCTTGCCTGCGCCGACCCTGGACGGGGAGCCCCCCTGGCCCATTCCGGACTACATCAAAACGCCCAGCAAGGCCACGCCAGCGGTGTTGCCGAAAAAATGCGGGTGTTTTTTAGGCGGAGTCCGAACGCGAAAAGAAGCTTTAAATGTTTTTCAGGTTTCCCCACCCAAATCCAAAGATAAACCTTGTTCCAGGGAAAGTTGGGAAGTCCGAGCTTTACGCAATGGCCAACCCCTTGGCTGGTACGGAGTGTGCTGTTTACAGGCTTCAAAAACAAGGCAGCCCACGCGGGTGACTCTGTGACTGGCGGAATTTTGATTATATATATATATAAATACACATATTATATCATATATAGTTACTATAATATATATTGTTTTCCTTCCTCCTCCCTCCCTCCCTCCCTCCCTCCCCTCCCTTCCTTCCTTCCTTTCTTCCTTCTTTCTTCATGTATTTATATATTTTGTTTGCTCGTTCTTTCTGTATTTATGTATTTATTTATGGTTGTTTTTCCGTTTTTTTTTGCATTGTTTCTTTTATTGTGCGTATTTATTTCTTTATGTTTTTTGTTTTTCCGTGTTTATTTCTTCCGTTATTGTGTTTCTTTCAAAACATGGAGGAGGGACCCTCGAACGACCAGGTGCGTGTTCGTCAAGACTCGGGGTATATGAACAGCCGTCTTTCCGAAGAAAAGCCAAGGTGGCATCTTGTTTCTACTAGCAAACATTGTTACTACTAGTAAGGCACTTGTTACTACTAGCGTGGCACTTGTTTCTAATCCCAAAATGCCCATGAAGTGGTTTCCACCCTAAAGTCAAGGGAGACCGTGGTGATTTTTTGATCCTGCACGGATTTGGATAGGTTCAAGGGAGCGATGCAGGGCTTGGACAGGCCCGTTTTGAGCCGGGACTGATCAATATGATTGTTACATATTGTTACCCTTTGGATGGACAGAATGTGCTGTTGGACATAAATTTTAAGTTATTTAAGCATTTTAAGGAACAGAGCGTGCATGCATACAAACAAGAGCTGCAGCTATGCGGCTAAAGTTAAAAGCACACGGTGACCACCTGGCATTAAATTTGGCAATGCTGGGCCTCAAGAGATCAAGCACAATTGCAGCTCGAACCAGCTTATTTTTGAGTTCACGTTGCGCAAAGAGAGCCTTGGGCCTTGGTAAAAGGCCCAATTGCTTTACGCAGCTAAATTACCCCCACAATCCTTATTTTTTGGGACGGCGAAAGGGTGAAACCAACCAATCAGCCGTCCAGCCCGCACCAAAACGCACCTCCCGCGCGGGACTTCTGTTTTTTTCTCCGTGACACGACACCGCGGACCGGCAGCGGGTTCACCGGTGGCCGACCCGGCAGGCGGATCAACTTGGCCCCCTGTGGATCGCTCTTTGCGTCCTCTTGATCTGCGCACGCTGCGCCTGCCGCTTCTACTTCCGCCGGCGGCGCGCCGCGGACGCGGCACGGCTCCAACAAAGCATCTAGAGGGAAAAGAGGCGACCGGTGCTTGCTCAGCAGCGAGAGTGACTACAGCAAGCAGCACGGCTCTTCTGAGTTTCTATCTTCTATACCAACGGTATCAAATCGTTAAGAATGGCAAATAATAGAGTGTTGGTGGCTGGTACTTGTGGCACTGTACTTGTGCGTGGCCGCCCCCTTACGACATCTAGAAATTTTCACCCAGATCTCAGCAACCCTTAGATTTGCTGCAACAGACGACCCAGAGCCACCGGTGTTTTTTTCCGCAGTTGGGTGGCAAAGGTTGGAGATCGACATGGGAGGCGATGCAGACGACTTGATTCATCAGGTGCGATGCGATGCGAATCGCCGCCTTTCGGCGGGTCCTTTCGGTGATGGGCCACAAGTATACTTAGGGCGAATGACAGGAATTTGCTGGGCTAGTGACATAGGAGTTGTGGGCCACAGCGTAGACAAGTCATCAGTCAGTAGACAAGGTTGCCAAATGTAGTAATTACACAGCAGGATGACATAGGAGCTGTGGACGTTCTGCCATGGGACCATTTGGCCGCCCTAAACTTTGAAGTCATGCATGCGTTTGTCGAACTTTGGTCAAGATCGTGGCTGTATGGTGGAAGGCTGATGACATAGGGAGTAGGAACCTTGAACTCATGACATATATAGGTTGTTGCCCTGGAATTTAAACAATCGCTTTTCTATCTCATCCCCTAGTTGGCACATGCTATGATGGTGGCATTCTCCTAGATCATGTGTGGTTTAATGTGAAAAACTTCCTCAAACCATGCAATCTCTAAATGTGTGTGCCAGGTTAATTTCTGCATGTTTTAACCTGATGAGAAAGCAACTATGGCATATAGGCTCTCTCCTGATGACATAGAAGTTGTTTTTTGTGCCAACATTTCACAACTCCTATTTGATTGTCCCGGAGCATATTTGAAAACGGTGGAACAGGCTGGGGGAGAAGAGGTGGGGATATGTACGGATCAAGTCACGAGTTGGCATGGCAGGTCACTCTCTTTCCCTTGGTGAGGGATGACACTTGTGTGCAGTTATTTTCGAGACATCAACAACATGTGGTATAGCTCCTTTAGATATGGCATATGGGGAGGCTTCTACACTCAGAAAATATCAGAAAGTTCTAGAGCATGCGATGCATTCCATTTCTTCCCTGTTGCGGCTGTGGCGTTGCGTACTGGGAGTCATATTCACCTCGGCGGTGCTGCTCAACCCTCGCCGGTGCCGCTGGACACTGCTTCGTCTCGGCCGCGTGAGGGCTCGATGTCATGAGTAGAAACCGAAGCCACCCTGCCGCTCCTCCTTGGTGTCCTGCCCACATCGGACTCTGCTTGTTTTTTTTAATGTTTCCGTGGTCATCCGGAGTCTGCTTCTACCTGCAAGAATGGATCGACGGATCGTCCATCCCCAGTGTTTTGCGTTGAAGCCCGAACTCCGCGAGCGCAGGAGATCCAGCGCCACCTGGAGTCCGTCATCGTCGAGAAGACCGGAGGCGATCCTGGAGCGGTTGGAACGCCCGCACAGGGGGGAGGCCATACAGATGAGGCGTCCAGCTCAAAGTCCAACGTTCTGACCAAAACCTCTCCAACTGCGAGGTGTTCTTTCGGTCAAAACCACTGTGGTTTGCTAGGTGTTCTTTTGGGCTCGGTTAGGGGATGGTAAAACAAAACACTGCCCGCATACACACAAAACAACAACGTTTGAGACACAACATCTGTATAGCCTCAACCTAAACTATTGTTTGTTGAACAGAAGTTTGTTGTGCTGTTTTTTCTATTTCTTCGTAAATGTTCACTGTGACTTTTTGGAGGTGTATGTTTCAGATGTGAAAAATGTGTTCATTTTTTGTCGGCCTTAGTCCACCCTTTCCCCATCTAGCCAACCAAGTAGTTTCCTGCAATCCCAGCACGTACATGTTTGATGTGTTTTGCTAGCATACTTTCCAACCTTATCATATCTAATGTCAACATGTGTCCTGTTTCATTATAAACACCTTCCTTTCAAGTTTTTTCTTCTTTACAATCATCTCCTAAAATGCTTGCCCTCTATCCCAAGACTCCAAGCTTCTTTTGAAGAAAACCTTCCCTTCACTAACACATAGTAAAACATTGGCCATGTTTTCTTAGACCTCGCCCTTATGCAAGTGTCCACTCAAAACCATCCTGTGCTGCGGAAACATGTTCCTTGAACAAGTATCCATGCTTTACAAGAGCCTTTGTGCAAATCCTAGATGTGTCACCATTCACTGATTCATAAATATGTTCCTTTTCGCAAGTTTATTCCTTTCCCAAAACTCTGTCCTTGAGATGTGTTTACATGGGAAAGGATCCTCCTTTGCTCGTGAATGCCTCATTCCTTCATGACATACTTTGTGAGGCATCCTCCTTGGTGTGTGTGTGTGTTTTTAACACCACTATTGTGACAGACTCATATCTCTAATTAATTCTAATTCATATCCATTTCCCAGTGCCGCCTCCTTTATCCTCCCAACACCCCGTTGGTGGGGGCCGTTCACCGGGACACTCGTCACCGGAACATGGTGTTCATGGTGGGAAGCAGGTGCAGCACCGGCACCGTTCATGTGGAGGTGTCGCCCAAATTTGGGGGCACCCCACGCCGCTGAGCTAAGCATAGCTAAGCAAAGGGATGGGTGACCCATTAATCGCCAGGATTAAATGCATGGTTTTTCTCAGGTCCCCCCAAAAAAACTTTAGAGGAGGCATGAGGAGCCATGAGGAGCCAAAATGGACGTGAAGGGACTAGATTCTGCCCAAGCAGAATTGGTTTAAAGTTTGAACTGATGAGATGATCTCGCGGGAATGATGAGATGATCTGAAAAGGACATGCAATGATATTCCTGTAACACAAAAGCATGAGGAAGTAATAGGAATTCCATATGATCCAATATATACTGTATATATATAGATCTAATACTAAGACTATCTACGACTATAATCTATGAAATTATGATGTCTTTCTTCCAGCCCACCTGAACTCACCACATTCCAGTCTTCTGACCGGTCGTTGTGACCTTGCCAGGTGCCAAGCCTGTGCAGGCGGGGGAAAGGATGGGCTTCGGAAGGGGGTCGGCCGGTCGGCTAAGCTGGATGGCCGAAGGGTGAAAGGATGTGAAATGGGTTGAGAAAGTTTTCACATGTTTTCAACATCAAGATTCCATTGGGAGTTCCATTCGGTCAGGGGCGATTGATGGTCCCAAGCCGCATTTGCATCCGTGAATGTTGGGTAGATGTCATGTTGTGACTGTGATGTTTCGTCCTTTGAACAATAAGAGTAGCCTAGAAGTCAAGGTCAAACTTGAACATAGGCAGTTGAGCCGACCGATTTTCCAAGTATATACAATCTCCCGCCTCAAAGCTCCAAGCACCACACGGTGAAATGTGGGTTCTCGTTAAGAGAATGAAGGGTTCAATGTTTCTTGCCTCACAGTACCTTGAGGATTCCTGCTTTGGGGCTCGGTGTCAGATCATTGCAAAGAGGGAGAAAAAAGATACCTTGAGGATCCTTGAGGAACTTGACATTGTACTTCAGCTGAGTTAGGTTGACATGACTACTCATGCAGCAAAAAAGACAACATCACTGTCGCGATGCAGGCGCCGTCGACCGGCTCCAGCGAGGTTGTATTTATTATTCAACCATGTGTTTGTATTCCTGCCTCGTGCGCCCCCAACCGAAATCGGCCGCCAGGCGGGTTTGCCAGCCGTGTCCTTGGCAGCCATCCTCAACAAGGTGCCGGGAGGCTCAGAGCGAATGGCCAACGTCACACGGGGTCTCAGAGGTCCGGAAGAGTCGACGGGCCAAGTCAGGCCAAGTCAGGGGGCTGGGGGCTGTTTCGACATGATTCGATGATTGACATCATTGATGTTTTTGTTAGTAACTGTTTGGCCACCAAGCAAGTTGTGCTGATGCAAACATGTACTTCTACCCTTTCAGTATGGGGCGTCCTTTAAACATTGTAGTCTAGATAATTGAGACCATTGGACAACTGGTGGGAATCTGCAAATGTCTATGGTTTCTTGAGATTGTGACGGGTTGGGGTTGTGATGGTGAGTGATGGATTGGTCTTTGGCAGCAAGTCTGAAGTGCCTTCAACATTTGCGACGACTACGCTTGCAGATATGGGCATGCTCCAAACCCTGGCGAACGATAAGGGACTCACAAAAAACGATACCCTTTAACACGGCTCCAAAACATGGGAAGACAATAGAGGACTCACAAATCTGAGGATGCAACAGCCGCACACAATACATATTGACCGCGCCGTACCTCGTGTCAATGTAAAGAGCTTCCTGACCTCCCAACATTTCAGCATGTTTCATTGTTGCACTGCCTAGCAATGACGGCGTCATCATAAGCTTGAATGAATAGAATATCCACAGCTTTTAAAGGACCTTTCCAGTGAAATCATGACAGTCCTTCGAAGTCCTCCCATGTTTTCCTTTTTCCAGTAGGTCTGCTGCATGGGTTTGCCATGCAATGCTTCTACACGGCTGTCCTAGCTATATAAGTTGGATCGCCCTGCATTTGTATGTTATTCAATTATGACATATTCATAAATATTCAATGAGAACAATAATAAACCTGTTAGAGTTAGAGTGTCGTGTTATCTCACTATGATCGAACCCATCAGTTGCATGGTGTGCTGGTCATTTACTGCGCCCGGCACACCAAAAAGTGCAACTACTAGGGAGTCACCTACCCTCTGAGATTTTGGATCCCATCGCTTCTCGTCTGAGGCTCCGCTTCAATGGCGGTGAGGAGCGCTGCCCCAAGCCGTCTTGACGGCGCCGCGCAGGCGGATGCAGCCATGGCGCATGGAGCAGAGCGGATGACACCAGATGGCTGTGGGTCATGGCACAGACATTTTTTCACGCGACGTGCGCAACACGGTGTTTGAACGCTCCTTGAACGCTCCTACCTTGATATGCAGTGGAACGCTGGGTATGCAGGGTGTGAAGTGGTTGACCCACCTGGTGTCGGTCTTGCGGACGACCGTCGGGCTCCAGGTGCCATGACCGACCCGATGTGTCCACCCAAAAGCGGAAGGATAGGGTGCCCAACTCGAGCCAGTTCGAATGACATGGGATGTAATT